CCCAGGTGAGCCCAGGTGTGTCCCCGGGTGTATCCCAGGTGTATCCCAGGTGTATCCCAGGTGTCCCCAGGTGCCCCAAGGTGCCCCCAGGTGAGCCCAGGTGCCCCAGGTGAGCCCAGGTGTGTCCCCGCAGATCAAGATGGACTCTCAGATGACGAAGCAGGCGCTGAACGAGATCGAGACGCGGCACAACGAGATCATCAAACTGGAGACGAGCATCAGGGAGCTGCACGACATGTTCGTGGACATGGCCATGCTGGTGGAGAGCCAGGTACGGACAGGTGACACCTGAGACAGGTGGGACACGGACAGGTGACACCTGAGACAGGTGGGACACGGACAGGTGGGACAGGTGACACCTGAGACAGGTGGGACACGGACAGGTGACACCTGGGACAGGTGGGACACGGGCAGGTGACACCTGGGACAGGTGGGACAGGTGGGACAGGTGAGACAGGTGACACCTGACACAGGTGGGACACGGACAGGAGACACCTGTGACAGGTGGGACAGGTGGGACAGGTGGGATAGGTGACACCTGGCACAGGTGGGACGGGTGGGACAGGTGACACCTGTCACAGGTGACACCGTGGGGACAGGGACAGCATCAGGGAGCAGCACGACACGTTTGTGCCATGCTGGTGGAGAGCCAGGTGACACCTGGGACAGGTGGGACAGGTGGGACAGGGACAAGTGACACCTGGGACAGGTGGGACAGGTGGGACATGGACAGGTGACACCTGGGACAGGTGACACCACGGGACAGGTAACATGGACAGGTGACACTGTGGGGACACCATGGGGACAGGGACAGGGTCACTGTGGGGAGGGGCTGGAGGTCACCTGGGAGTGACCAGAGGTCACCTGAACACCCCGATGGCCACTTGCACCTCCTGAGGGCCACCTGAGCCCCCTCAGTGGCCACCTGAACCCCTCAGTGGCCACCTGAGCCCCCCAATGGCCACCTGAGCCCCTCAGTGGCCACCTGAGCCGCTCAGTGGCCACCTGCCCCCCCAAAGGCCACCTGAACCCTTCAAGGGCCACCTGAACCCCTCAGTGGCCACCTGAGCCCCTCAGTAGCCACCTGAACCCCTCAGTAGCCACCTGAGCCCCTCAGTAGCCACCTGAGCCGCTCAGTGGCCACCTGCCCCCCCCAAAGGCCACCTGAGCCATTCAGTGGCCACCTGAACCCTTCAATGGCCACCTGAGCCCCCCAATGGCCACCTGAGCCCCTCAGTGGCCACCTGAACCCCTCAATGGCCACCTGAACCCCTCAAAGGCTACCTAGAACCCCTTTAGGGCCACCTAGTACCTCCCAATGGCCACCTGAACCCTTCAGTGGCCACCTGCCCCCCCCAATGGCCACCTGAGCCGCTCAGTGGCCACCTGAGCGGCTGAGTGGCCGCGTGGCCGCTGTCCCGGCGCAGGGCGAGATGATCGACCGCATCGAGTACAACGTGGAGCACTCGGTGGATTACGTCGAGCGCGCCGTGTCCGACACCAAAAAAGCCGTCAAGTACCAGAGCAAGGCCCGGCGGGTGAGCGCGGCACGGGGGGGCGGGCCCGGGGTGGCCACGCCCACTGGGGGGGGTCACGGGGGGCGAGTGGGAGGAGGTGTGGCCACCAGGAACTCAATGTGGCCACCAGGAACTCAATGTGGCCACCATGAACCCAGTGGGGCCACCAGGAACTCAATGTGGCCACCATGAATGCATTGGGGCCACCAAGACCTCAATGTGGCTGCCAACAATGCATTGGGGCCACCAGGAACTCAATGTGGCCACCAAGAATGCAGTGGGGCCACCAAGAACTCAATGTGGCCACCAAGAATGCATTGGGGCTATCGGGATCCCAGTGGGGTGACCAAGACCTCAGTGTGGCCACCAAGACCCCAATGTGGCCACCACAAACTCAATTGGGCTATCAAAACCTTAATGTGACCACCACAAACCCAATGGGTCCACTGAGAGCTCAGTGTGGCCACCAAGACCCCAATGTGGCCACCAAGACCCCAATGTGGCCACCATGAACCCAGCGGGGCCATCAGAAACCCAACATGACCACCACAAACCCAACGTGGCCACCAAGGCCTCATTTTGGCCACCAAGGCCCCATTTTGGGCCACCAAGGCCTCATTTTGGCCACCAAGGCCTCATTTTGGCCACCAAGGCCCCATTTTGGGCCACCAAGACCCCATTTTGGCCACCAAGGTCTCATTTTGGCCACCAAGGCCCCATTTTGGCCACCAAGGTCTCATTTTGGCCACCAAAGTCTCATTTTGGCCACCAAGACCCCATTTTGGCCACCAAAGTCTCATTTTGGCCACCAAGGCCCCATTTTTGGCCACCAAGGCCCCATTTTGGCCACCAAAGCCCCATTTTGGGCCACCTGGCCAGGGTGGGGGGAGGGGTCGGTAACGTTCGGGTCTCTCTCTCTCTCTCTCCCTCCCCTCCCCCCTCTGCCCGGATGTGCCAAAATCTCCCCGGCGCCGGAATTTCGGGATTTCGGGAATTTCGGGATTTCGGGATTTCGGAATTTCGGGATTTTGGGATTTCGGGAATTTCGGGATTTCGGGATTTCGGGGGAATTCTTCCCCATCTCCGGAACGTTCCGTGCCGGCACGCCCCCGGCGCCGGCAGAAGAAGATCATGATCATCATCTGCTGCGTGGTGCTGGGCGTGGTCCTGGCCTCCTCCATCGGCGGCACCTTGGGCTTGTAGAGCCCATGGCCCCCCCCCCCCACCACGGCCCCACCCCCACCCACCCAACCCTCGTTCATTAATGAATGAGTTAATTAATTAATTAACCGCATCCGGCGAGAATAAACCGAGAGACGGAATTTGGTGACGCCAAGCACGCGGTGGCGCCGTCGCCGCCCCGGCCACGCCCCCGGCGCCGGCGCCGGCCAATCTAAGGGGCTGCTGCTGCTCGGCCTTCATCCAACATCCCATCATCGCCCTCGGGCCGGCGCCTCCCGCCACCGGGGAGGGGGAGGGGTTGGGTTGGGTTTGTTGGGTTTGCTTTGGTTGGGTTGAGTTGGGTTTGATGAGTTTGGTTGGGTTGAGTTGAGTTGGGTTGGGTTGAGTTGGGTTTGATGATGTTGGGTTGGGTTGAGTTGAGTTGAGTTGAGTTGGGTTGAGTTGGGTTGAGTTGGGTTGGGTTGAGTTGGGTTGGGTTGAGTTGCGTTGGGTTGAGTTGGGTTGCATTGGGTTGAGTTGCGTTGGGTTGAGTTGGGTTGGGTTGAGTTGGGTTGGGTTGAGTTGAGTTGAGTTTGATGAGTTTGGTTGGGTTGAGTTGGGTTGGATTGAATTGGGTTGGGTTGAGTTTGGTTGGGTTGGGTTTGATGATTTTGGTTGAGTTGGGTTGGGTTCAGTTGGGTTTGATGAGTTTGGTTGGGTTGGGTTGAGTTGGGTTGGGTTTCTTGGGTCAAGTGGGGTTGAGTTGGGTTGAGTTTCTTCCGTTTGTTTGAGTTTGGTTGAGTTGGGTTGGGTTTGATGAGTTTGGTTTATTGGGGTTGGGTTGGGTTGCTTGGATTGGGTAGGGTTGAGTTGGGTTGAGTTGAGTTGGGTTGGGTTGAGTTGACTCTGGTTGAGTTGAGTTGGGTTGGGTTGGATTTGTTGAGTTGGGTTCAGTTGGGTTGGGTTGGGTTGAGTTGGGTTGGGTTGAGTTTGGTTGAGTTTGGTTGAGTTGGGTTGGGTTGGGTTGAGTTTGGTTGAGTTGTTGGATTGGGTTGGGTTCAGTTGAGTTTGGTTGAGTTGGGTTGGGTTGGGTTGAGTTGGGTTGAGTTTGGTTGGGTTGGGTTGACCCATCCCAGTTGGGTGGGGGAGGTGCCATTGGCCCATTCCCACGGTGCCATCACAGCCCCTGACCAATCCACCATCACTGACCAGAATGACCATCACTGACCAGAATGACCATCACTGACCAGTCCATCACTGACCAGAATGACCATCACTGACCAGTAATGACCATCACTGACCAGAATGACCATCACTGAGCAGTCCAACCATCACTGACCAGAATGACCCATCCCCCACCCAACCGGACACCTGCCCCCCCACCCAATGACATCATCGATAACCCGATGGTATCATCAATACCTCAATGACATCATCAACAAGCCAATGACCTCATTGCTGACCCAATGACCCCATTGATGACCTCATCAATGACCCAATGATCTCGTCAATAACCCAATGACATCATCGACGACCTGATGACCTCATCAATAACCCGATGACATCACTGATAACTCAATGACATCATCGATGAGCCAATGACCGCATTGCTGACTTCATCAATGACCCAATGACATCATCGATAACCCAATGACATCATCGATAACCCAATGACATCATCGATGACCCAATGACATCATTGATGACCCAATGATCTCATCAATGACCCAATTACCCAATCGATGACCGGATGATGTCATCGATGACCCAATGACCTCATCAATAACCCAATGACGTCATCGATGACCTCATCGATGACCCAAC